TGATTGCCTTCAGATTTTCTGAGGCTGCTTTCACTCCAGTTAAAGCATGAGATTAGGTGATCAAGATTATATTCTTGGATTAAGATAGTTATCTTAGATGAATTATAATACTTGGATTGACATTGTCAATGTGCTGTTAGCCTTAAGATTGTAGATTAGTGATGAGGGGCTGTTTAGCCAATCAGATTGTGATTTGAGATTGATTGGTCTTAATCCCCAATGGTAGACTATTGTAGCCAAGTGATGATGACATTTGTCTATCACCTGATTTAAATGGCCTGTAGACTGTAGATTCCACTGCAAACAATTTGTTTACTTAGATATATAGCTATGATAAATATTGGCTGTTAGCTAGGTTAGGCTAGAATATGTGAAAATTATTCCAATGCAAAATCAAGAAGTTTCATATGTATTTGCTACAATAATATTCGGTAAACGAAGGACCAAAAATATCTAGGTTCAAGAATTATTATCTAGGTACGAAGGACCATAAATATCTAGGTTCGAAGGACCAAAAATGTGGGAAAAACCTGCTGGAATTGATATAAGAGGAGACTACCAGGGACTTGTACTGAACTAAATTAAAAAATTACTGTCTGCAAATTAATTCAACTAAAATCTCTAGCTAGGGTTGTAAATCCTAGCTCCTCTTTTTTTAATGATAGATTGTGGGCTTTAAGGGACAGGTTGGGTGAATGAATTAGTTGATAGAAGTTCCAGTCCACCTGTAGACAGGGATCTCACATCAGCTTGTATTTTATACAAGGAAAAGATTTAATAAATTCAGTTCTATGCTGAACACTGGCTCTGTTTAAATCAGTGATTTAAATATACATGGTCTAGCCTAGCACCATAACTATTAACAGCCAATATGTTCTTATACTATAAACAACAATTTAAATTATAAAAGTATAATAAATGACTTTAAATGTAGTCTAAGTACTATTAACTAAGTACTAAAAGTACTCATGAGGTCTAGTGCTTGGATAAAGATTCTACTGCTGCTCTACAATATTAATAAACTTACTGAGGTATGAGGCGTTGCCTCGCTTTATAACCGACAGACAGACTTATAGAATATCAAAGTTACACAAGCATACAATTGGCCAATCATATACCCAAATAACCTATAATATACTTCTCTGAATGCCGGAGTGCCTGTTTGACAGTGTAACAGACTGATAACTCTCTTGTCGCGAGTATAGGCATGATATTTTACATCACAGCGTTGCTGTATGATGTACTAGTAGCATTGCTACTTGATTTTTCTATAACTGCGTTGCAGAAGAATGATAGTGGTGAAGGTGGAGACAAGTCACTGTGTGCTCCACTCTACACTTATAGATATAAACGTTCTAGGGTTTTCTTTGTAGATATTGTCCAGGTACTTCCCCAGTTCTAGAGAGTATTCACTGGTGATAAAGATAACTAGATAAGGTGTCCTGAGCTATGTAATGTTCACTAAGGTACCCTCACACTTGTTCACTCTTTTGTCAACAAACGCGTAGTGCCACGGGGTGTGTTGGGCACTTCTCTCCCAGCCATCGCCCCCCCCCCCCATCCCCATGCTCCCTGAGCACGGTAGCCTTCTATGAATATTGATTGATTATTTTACTGTCTAGACATATGATTGAGATAAGATGTGATTATAATATAATTAGATATAGGATTTAAAGATTATAAGTAGTACTTAATAGAACCACTGATTCTTATTAAGGATTCGATTTATTATCCCTACCGGAAGCGATTAATGTTCCAATAGTTTTTAATTAAGAAATCCTTCTAGAAGCTTCTGGATCCTTGAGAGATCATGCACAAAGTCACATAGGCATCTAGAGGGCCCTATTGCGTATGTGATCATAGTGACATTGTTATCTAGGATCAAGCTGTATAATGATTCTAATATGATTTTGATATGATTTGATACGATTTGATATGATATAGATTTGATTTTGATATGATTTAGAAATTATACATTTCTTAGATGATAATATAGGTAGGTGGGTAAACATTTCCCACATGTGGTGGTAGAGGGAGTTGTGCTAGCGGGAGTGGTGATAAGGAGAGTTGTGGTAGGAGTGGTAGTGGTAGAGGCTGTGGTTGTAGTATGGGTTGTGGCATAGTGAGTTGTGGTAGAGGGATTGGTGGTAGAGGGAGCAGTAGTGGAAGGAGTGGTGTTAGTGTGTGTGATGGTAATGGGAGTGGTGGTAGTGTGGGTTGTGGAAGAGGAAGTGGTGGTGGTAAAAGGATTGATGGTAGTGTTGGTGGTGGTAGAGGGAGTTTTGGTAGAGGGGGGAGCGGTGATAGCTGGAGTTGTGGTAGGAGTGGTGGTAGAGGGTGTGGTTGTAGTATGGGTTGTGGAAAAGGGAGTAGTGGTAGAGAAAGTGGTGGTAGAGGAAGGAGTGGTTGAGGAAGGAGTGGTAGAGGGAGTGGTGGTAGTGAATGTGGTGAGTGATTGTGGAGGGAGTGGTGGTAGTGTGGGTGGTGGTAGAGGGTTTGGTGGTAGAGGAAGTGGTCGTAGAGGGAGAGGTGGTAGAAGGAGTGATGGTAATGTGTGTGTTGAGGTAGATTGATGGTGGTAGGAGTTGCGGTAGTATTTTATTTATTTATACATTTTTACATGCTGGGATGCTAAGCAGTACAATAAATGAAACACAAGAGAAAAACTGCAAAGTACAAAAACACACTCCTTAAGGTCACATAATAAGACACAGATACGTAACACATTACATAAAACAGTACATTAAACTTCGTATTTTTGTGGAAACTGATCCTTCGGAAACCAGATTCCATACGCCTCCCAGCACAGCCTCTCAGCTGGCCGCTCATCATGACAAAAATGCACAGAAGGACGTTCCATATTATCCGGAATCTATGACACGATGGCATGCACACGGGGGATTCAAATAGTACTAGGGTCGAGGGAAAGCGGCGCCACTAGCCCCCACATGACGGGTGGCCGGAGATTGGTTAAATTAACAGACAGATCCTCAATTGGCAGAAGCCCAACATCAGGTACGGCACCCTTCGAGTGGGCAACCGCGCTCCTGAAACAGGGCGGCTGAACAGGGGCCGTTAACACAGCAGGTGGGACTACGGGAGGCGACAGGTGAGGGGGCAACACCACAGGGGCCTCCGCCGGAATATTCACAGGACCGGGCATCGGCACAGACCCCCCACGGCGTACATCCTTCAAGATCACCACAAGGCCTCAACTCACACCAGCATCATCACCATCCACCTCAGGAGGATGTACCACCACCTCACTGTGGCGAAACCCCTACAGGAGAAAAAATACATGTTAAATCGGAATCTCTAACACCGGCAGCAGCAGTAAGCACATGAACCTGTCACTACCGTCTCTGTAGACACCAACTCCCCAGGAACCACCCCATCAGGGGACCTGCAATCGTCAAAGTAAGCCACGTCGGCCCAGGCAGGAGAAAGCTGCGAACACTGGGATTCGGCTGCACGTCGTCAGAGCTGGAGGCGGAACCAGAAGCACGGTTACCACAGGGCGCGCACGACGCAAGACGTCATCATCTTCAACGACATGGCGGACCGGCCCCAACACCACCTCCCAGCACGGCTGGGACAATCATTGTAGACGGAGAGACAGGACCTGGAGAACCTGAAGAAGGCGGATACTTAGGGGGAGCACCCGGAAGATCCACAGCAGCATCAGGAACACCATTGGGAACAATATGTCCAACTGAGGACTGCACAACCTCTGGAGGACAAGCCCCAGCAACATCAGGCGCACCAGTGGACACAGGACGCAACCCAGCATCCAGAAGGTCGTTCACAAACTCGGTCACCGAGACCTCCTCCACAGTGAGCGGTGGGAAAGCCTCCTCACAAAAGAGGTTCAATGGAACGACGGCATCCGCTGAGCTGTTTTTTCGTCAGATTCATCTACGCGTTCACTGCATTCTGATACTCGGCCGACTCAAGCACCTTGCGCAGTGTAGGACTTACAGCTTGCATTTCCAACTCTTCGTCGCCTCTAGGACAATTCAGCTCTAGCAGTGATTCCCTCGTTGTCCTAACTACGTACCTACATTACCTCCTATTGTCCTGGTGCCTGTGCCCATCCGCCCCGGATCTAAATGCTCCACCAGCGACCCAAGGACGCAACAATCATGCACATTCTTCTCTCTGCTACACCGAGCTTGTCCACACACTGCCTGCATGTTTTGGTATCAGACTGCATGTTCCACAGCGACCCAGGGAACAGTAGCCTCGTATTTTTTGTTGTATTGCTTTTCTTCCATTTCCTGGCAGGGGAAGTCCTGTAGCGAGTAAACTTATACTTGCTCCATTATCTCATCATCTTAATGACATAACTAATTAGCACTAACTACACAAGCTATAATCCTATCCCTAATTACAGGTAACGGTTTTTCCACCCTCCTATCTTATTGTGAGGTGTAGTCACCGTATAAAAGCAAGCGATTTGAGAATAGCAAACAGTACAATTTCCAGTCAAGCATGTAGCCCTCGGCTTAGGCAGTTCTTATTGTCTCCAAGATGCTACAGCTTCGACACAGAACAAGCAGCAGACTAGGATCGCATCCAGCTACAACGCTCTCCCGCAGAGCTCTGCGACTCTGGCCACGGTCTGCTCCAAGCTCCGTCTCAACGTCTACGACACTGCTGTATCCAGGACTACTAAATAAATATGAAACTCACTATCATTAAACACTATGTATCTAATCTATCCGACAATGTAACATAAACGTATGTTACACACATCTACCAGCAGCCAGGTGGCCCAACAACCCACAGTGAAAACTTGTCCGTGGCTGTCGTGCGTGGTAGACGAGGACATAATACCCCATGAGCCGCACAGAGGACGGGATGTCCTCAGCCGCATCCACCAGAGTGCGAATATTCGTCCGAACTCCCTTAAATGTCCCAGAGGAAAGCATATTTAATCATACACTCATGACAGTGGTAAACCGCCCGAACAGCTCATCCGGGAACTCGAGGGGCGCACCATGGACACTGACGAAGGTAAGGGCACCACTACGGTTGGAGATAACGACCATACCAGCAGCATCTGGCAGCGTAAAACGATCGCCCCTCGTAACGGAGTAAAAACACCCTGTAGTCATCCTCCGTGGCAAACTTCACAATAGCCCGATGGGAAGAAACCAACTCCACTCCATAAATCGCAGCCACATCAATATGCAGCACCTCACACTTCACCAACTCCACCGCCGGATAATCAACCTTGCCGGAGAACTCCAGTCCCACCGAATGAGCCCGCAACACGTAGGGGAGGTCACCCCCATCATTCAGGCCACGTCAGCACACCACCTGCGATCCGCCAACCACCCTGGGTAAGCAACAAATGAAAAGGTAGGCGAGGAATTACCGCTCGCCATGCCATCTAGTGCGCAACCTGGGAGAATACAAGATTCTCAGAGGAATTGATAGAGTAGATAAAGACAGACTTTTTAACACAAGGGGCACACGCACTAGGGGACACAGGTGGAAATTGAGTGCCCAAATGAGCCATAGAGACGTTAGAAAGAATATTTTCAGTGTCAGAGTAGTAGACAAATGGAATGCATTAGGTTTTTTTTTTTTTTTTTGAGATATATACAAGAGTTGTTACATTCTTGTACAGCCACTAGTACGCGTAGCGTTTCGGGCAAGTCCTTAATCCTATGGTCCCTGGAATACGATCCCCGGCCGCGAAGAATCGTTTTTTCATCCAAGTACACATTTTACTGTTGCATTAAACAGAGGCTACAGTTAAGGAATTGCGCCCAGTAAATCCTCCCCGGCCAGGATACGAACCCATGACATAGCTCTCGCGGAACGCCAGGCGAGTGTCTTACCACTACACCACGGAGACTGCTGTGACTAGGTAGTGATGTGGTGGAGGCTGACTCCAAACACAGCTTTAAGTGTAGATATGATAGAGCCCAGTAGGCTCAGGAAACCTGTGCATTAGTTGATTGACCGCTGAGAGGCGGGACCAATGAGCCAGAGCTCAACCGCCGCAAGCACAACTAGGTAAGAACTAGGTAAGTACACTACCACACACACTACCACACCACACCACCACACACACAATTCCACACAACAGTACCACACCATACCACGCCACCACAGCATATTACCCACACTACCACACCACACCATATTACCACACAACATGGGCACAATATCACACCACGCGTCCACACAATATTTCCCCACCACACTAACCAACCATAATACCATGCCGACACACTATATTATCACACTACCACACCACCCCTACCACACTTCCCCACAAAACATCCACCACGCCACCACCACTACCACATCACCGCATTGACATTATCAATCACAATTACCAGCAACTGCATCGACATCAATCTCCACTACCACCAACCATAATCAAAATGCCACCAACTACAATAAACCATAACCACCACTACCACCAACCACAATCATCAACCACTACCATCAACCACCACTCTCACCAACCACACCCATCATCTTCCACTGCCACCAACCTCAACTATCAACCACTGATGCCACCAACCATCACAATCATCAACCACCACAATCATCAACAACTATAACCATCATCCACCACTATTATTAACCACCATTACCATCAACCACCACTACCACCATCCACCACAGTCAGCAACTACAAACCATCATCCACCACAACCATCAACCATCACAGCCATCAACCACCACATCCATCAACCACCACAGCCATCAGTCACCAAACCATCAACCACCACTACCATCAACCACCACTACCATTAACAATCACTACCATCAACCACCACCTCCATCAGCCACCACTTCCGTCAACCACCACTTCCGTCAACCACCACTTCCGTCAACCACCACTTCCATCAACAACCACAATCATCAACCACAATAACCATCAAATATCACTACCATCAACAACCACTACCACCAGAATCATCAACAACCTTCTTCTTTTTTCTTTTTTTTTGAGATATATACAAGAGTTGTTACATTCTTGTACAGCCACTAGTACGCGTAGCGTTTCGGGCAAGTCCTTAATCCTATGGTCCCTGGAATACGATCCCCTGCCGCGAAGAATCGTTTTTTCATCCAAGTACACATTTTACTGTTGCGTTAAACAGAGGCTACAGTTAAGGAATTGCGCCCAGTAAATCCTCCCCGGCCAGGATACGAACCCATGACATAGCGCTCGCGGAACGCCAGGCGAGTGTCTTACCACTACACCACGGAGACTGTGGTGTCCATCACGACAGCTTCCGCTATCACCATACCTTCCTTCACTACCACCAGCACCTCCACTACCACCACCAACTTCTCTACCACGACATTCACTACCACCACTTTCACTACCACCACAATAACCATGACCACCACCACCAGCACTTCCACTACCATCACCACCAGCACCTCCACTACCACCACTATCAGCACGTCCACTACCACAACCATCATCTCCACTACAACTACCACCACTTCCACCACCAACTCCACTACCATAACTTGTGCTACCACCACCTTCATTACCATCACCACAACCACGACCACTACCACCAGCACCTTCTTTACAACAACTAGCGCCTCTACTACCACCAGCAGCACCTCCACTACTTCCACCACCAGTACCTGGACTACCACCACTTCCACTACACCACCACCAGCATCACCACTACCACAACAACCAGCACCTATACTACCACTACCACCAGCACTTCAACTACCCCCAATAGCACCACCACTACCACACCACAGCACCATATTACCACACCACACCACCAGACCACCAGTATACCTCACTACCACATCACAACCATCAACTATTAACACCAACAATCACTACCATCAACTACTACCATCAACCACTATTGCCACTAACACAGCTGCCACCAACAAAAACCACAATTGCCATCAACAACCACTACTACCAACATTATCACAACGCACACTACCACACTATACCATACAACACTAACACACTATATCACACCGCCACAACACACCACTACTACCACATCACACCTCACTAACACCACATACTATCTCTATCACAATACACCACCACACTACAACACTACTCAACCACCATTTCCACACCAAACCACCACCACCACACTATACCACACACCACTATCACACTACACCCAACCACCACCACCACCACCACCACCACTACCACACCACTATCACACTACACCAAACCACCACCACCACCCACCACCACTACCACACCACAACCAAAAACTACCACTACACCACCACCACACACCACCACTACCACACCACAACAACACCCTACCACTACCACTACCTAAGCAATAGGAAGCAGAGAGTTACGGTGAGGGGTGAGACCTCCGACTGACGTGAAGTCACCAATGGAGTCCCACAGGGCTCTGTACTCAGTCCTATCTTGTTTCTGTTATATGTAAATGATCTCCCGGAGGGTACCGATTTATTTCTCTCAATGTTTGTGGACGATGCTAAAATTATGAGAAGGATTAAAACAGAAGAGGACTGTTTGAGGCTTCAAGAAGACCTAGACAAGCTGAAGGAATGGTCGAACAAATGGTTGTTAGAGTTTAACCCAACCAAATGTAATGTAATGAAGATAGGTGTAGGGAGCAGGAGGCCAGATACAAGGTATCATCTGGGAGAGGAAATTCTTCAGGAGTCAGAGAAAGAAAAAGACTTGGGGGTTGATATCACGCCAGACCTGTCTCCTGCAGCACATATCAAGAGGATAACATCAGCGGCATATGCCAGGCTGGCCAACATACGAACAGCATTCAGAAACTTGTGTAAAGATTCATTCAGAACTTTGTATACCACATATGTCAGGCCAATCCTGGAGTATGCAGCCCCAGCATGGAGTCCATATCTAGTCAAGGATAAGACTAAACTGGAAAAGGTTCAAAGGTTTGCCACCAGACTAGTACCCGAGCTAAGAGGTATGAGCTACGAGGAGAGACTACGGGAATTAAACCTCACTTCGCTAGAAGACAGAGGAGTTAGGGGGAACATGATCACCACATTCAAGATTCTCAAGGGAATTGATAGGGTAGATAAAGACAGGCTATTATCACAAGGGGCACACGCACAAGGGGACACAGGTGGAAACTGAGCGCCCAAATGAGCCACAGAGATATTAAAAAGAACTTTTTTAGTGTCAGAGTGATTGACAAATGGAATGCATTAGGAAGCGATGTGGTGGAGGCTGACTCCATACACAGTTTCAAGTGTAGATATGATAGAGCCCAATTGGCTCAGGAATCTGTACACCTGTTGATTGACGGTTGAGAGGCGGGACCAAAGAGCCAGAGCTCAACCCCCGAAAACACAACTAGGTGAGTACACTACACCACACTACCACCACACACCGCCTCATCACTACACCATTACACACTACATCTACCACACAAACTCCACCACACACTCCAGACTACACCAACCACACACCATTATTACCACACCATCCTACCTCATCATCCCACCACACCAAACCACCACACCACACTACCACACCACACTACACACCACACTGCCTCACAACACTGCCTCACCACACTATTACACCACACTACCACACCAGACTGCCTCACAACACTGCCTCACCACACTACTACACCACATTACCACACAACAGCACCACCATGCCACACTATGCCACCACACCACCCCACCTCATTACACACCACCACACCACCCCACCACACTACCACACCACTATTACAACACCACCCCACCACACAACCCCACTATACAATCATACATCTAGCCGCACTACCACACAACACCAACCGACCACACTTCCACCACTCCACCACCACTACCATATCACCGCACGATAATACCTCAACACACTTCCACCACCACCACCAGTACAACTTGTACCCCACCACAACTACAACACTGCAATTACTGAAGACACCATCACACTACCACAGCATCATCAGAATATCAGAATACCATTACTACCACCCCACACTACCATGCACAACTCAACCACAAATACCAGCCTGGTTGATGAGATATGTGTTGGAGGTGTTTATCAATCACTACCACCACCAACTACAAACCATCATCACAAACCACCACTGCCACCAGTCACAACCCATCAAGAACAACCACCACCACCATCATGGATTCTCCATTAGGTAAAAATAACGAATAAAAAATTTGAAACCACCTTTATTATGCTCATGTTTTATTTTTACTAAATGTTAAATAAATATTTTTTTTTTATTTTTATATATAACATCAATCACGAACCCAACTTTTATGCAACATTTAAAGTTGCCACAAAGTCTCAAATTTTGTTTAGCCAACGTTGTGCAATAAGTTGTGGCAACCTATTTACGACCCCACAAAATAAGGTAACTAATACGTGAAAACAAACGTTTCCATTGCTTTCAAAAACTTTCCTGGTACGTTGTGGCACCCTAAAATTGTTTCCTGGGATCTACCAACACTGCCATCAACCACCATCATCTACCAACACTGCCACCAACCACCATCATCTACCAACACTTCCACCAAACACTACAATCTACCAACATTGCCACCAACTTCAACAATCTATCAACACTGTCTCAACCACAGCCATCTTTCAACACTGTCACCAACCACAACCATCTACTACCACTGCCACCAACCAAACAACAACCACCACAACAACGGATTTACATTAAGTAAAATAAAAAGATTACTAAAAAATGTGAACTAGCCTTTATTATGCTCCTTTTTATTTCAACTAATATTTTGTATATATTTAGTTTCAATATATATCATAAATAATAGAAACGACTTTTATGAAGCATTTAAGGTTGCCACAAGGTCTCAATTTTGTTTACCTAACGTAGTGTTGTAAGTTGTGACAACCAGTTTACGACTCCACACAAAAACGTATTGATTCCTTAAAAACGAAATTTGCCACAGCTCTCAAAAACTTCCCTGGTGCGTTCTGGCAACATGAATTGTTTGCTTGGTAGTGTACTTCAAGATCTAGAGTGTATTGCAATGCATGGAGTGAACATTTCGTCCTGGAGAGTACTTCAGGGCATGGCGTTACTTTAGAGTCTTGAATGTAATTCAGGGCCTGAAATATACTTCAGGGTATGAAGTGTACTTATCATTATGTGTACTTCAGAGTCAGGAGTGTTTTACAGGGCCGGCAGTGTACTTCAGGGCCTATAGTTTACTTCTTAACTTATAGTTTACTTCATGGCCTATAGTGTACTTCAGGGCATGAAGTGTGCTTCAGGTCCTGATTAGTACTTCAAGGCCTAAAGTGTACCTCAGACCCTGCAGTGTGTATAAGAGTCAAAAGTGTACTTTAGGGCCTGGACCATACTTCAGGGTCTTTAGCGTACTTCAGGGTCAGGAGTGTTCTTTGTGGTTAGAGTGCAATTCATATCATGGAGAGTATTTCAATGCCTAGAGTGGATCTCAGGTCCTTGAGTGTGCTTCAGGGTCTGAAGTGTACTTTAGGGTCTGGAGTGTTTTTTTGGTATCATGAGTGTTCTTCAAAATGTGGAGTGGTATTCAGTTCCTGGAGTGTACTTCAAATCCTGAATTGTACTCAGTATTTGAAATGTGCTTCAGGGTCTGCAGTGTACTTCAGGGTTTTAAATGTAGTTGAAGGTCTGGAGTACACTTCAGGTACTGTAGTGTCCTTCAGGGACTTTAATGTATTTCAGTGATATTGATTGTAGTTTAAAGACAGGAGAATACTTACTTTTGGTCCTGGTTTCAGAGCCTGAAGTCTACTTCATGGTCTTGAGTGTATTTCAGAGCCTGAAGTCTACTTCATTGTCTGGAGTCTACTTCACGGTATGGATTATTCTTCTGGATCTTAAGTGTATTTCACGGTTTTGAGTGTACTTCAGGCCTGGCATGTACCTCTGCTCCTGGAGTGTACTTCAGGGCCTAGACTGTATTCAGGGACTGGAGTGCAATTCAGGGTCAGCAATATATATATATATATATATATATATATATATATATATATATATATATATATATATATATATATATATATATATATATATATATATATATATATATATGTCGTACCTAGTAGCCAGAACTCACTTCTCAGCCTACTATTCAAGGCCCGATTTGCCTAATAAGCCAAGTTTTCCTGAATTAATATATTTACTATAATTTTTTTCTTATGAAATGATAAAGCTACCCTTTTCACTATGTATGAGGTCAATTTTTTTTATTGGAGTTAAAATTAACGTAGATATATGACCGAACCTAACCAACCCTACCTAACCTAACCTAACCTACATATATAGGTAAGGTTAGGTTAGGTAGCCAAAAAAAGCTAGGTTAGGTTAGGTTAGGTAGGTTAGGTAGACGAAAAAACATTAATTCATGAAAACTTGGCTTATTATGCAAATCGGGCCTTGCATAGTAGGCTGAGAAGTGAGTTCTGGCTACTAGGTACGACATATATATATATATATATATATATATATATATATATATATATATATATATATATATATATATATATATATATATATATATATATATATATATATATATATATATATATATATATATATGTCGTACCTAGTAGCCAGAACTCACTTCTCAGCCTACTATGCAAGGCCCGATTTGCCTAATAAGCTAAGTTTTCATGAATTAATTGTTTTTCGACTATCTAACCTACCTAACCTAACCTAACTTTTTCGGCTACCTAACCCAACCTAACCTATAAAGATAGGTTAGGTTAGGTTAGGTAGGGTTGGTTAGGTTCGGTCATATATCTACGTTAATTTTAACTCCAATAAAAAAAATTGACCTCATACATAATGAAATGGGTAGCTTTATCATTTCATAAGAAAAACATTAGAGAAAATATATTAATTCAGGAAAACTTGGCTTATTAGGCAAATCGGGCCTTGAATAGTAGGCCGAGAAGTGCGTTCTGGCTACTAGGTACGACATACATATATATATATATATATATATATATATATATATATATATATATATATATATATATGTCGTACCTAGTAGCCAGAACTCACTTCTCAGCCTACTATGCAAGGCCCGATTTGCCTAATAAGCCAAGTTTTCATGAATTAAGGCTTTTTCGTCTGCCTAACCTACCTAACCTAGCTTTTTTTGGCTACCTAACCTAACCTTACCTATATATATAGGTTAGGTTAGGTTAGGTAGGGTTGGTTAGGTTCGGTCATATATCTACGTTAATTTTAACTCCATTAAAAAAAAAATGACCTCATACATAGTGAAAAGGGTAGCTTTATCATTTCATAAGAAAAAAATTATAGTAAATATATTAATTCAGGAAAACTTGGCTTATTAGGCAAATCGGGCCTTGAATAGTAGGCTGAGAAGTGAGTTCTGGCTACTAGGTACGACATATATATATATATATATATATATATATATATATATATATATATATATATATATATATATATATATATATATATATATATATATATAAGTGATAGTTGTGGGTGGTGTAATATACAGAAGTATATATTTAATATTTGATGTGTTGGCAGGTGTGAAGGAGAGGGAGAACGCCACCCGCCGCCTCCTGGACACTCTGGACCAGCTGGAGTGTGTCAACAAGGCTCACCAAGCTGACAACCTCAAGCTGGAGGAGGAAAACATTCGCCTAAATACAGCAATTCATTTTCTCGAGGAGGACAAGATGAAGATTAAGAACGAAGTGCGCCTTGCTCAGGAGGAAAATATTAAATTAAAGTCCCAGATACGTCAAGTGGAGGAGGACTCGAGGCTGGTCAAGGTGGAGATCCGTCAAGTGGAGGAGGACTCCAGGCTGGTCAATGAGGATAACATGAAGATTAAGAACGAAGTGCGCCTTGCTCAGGAGGAAAATATTCAATTAAAGTCCCAGATCCGTCAAGTGGAGGAGGACTCGAGGCTGGTCAAGGAGGAGATCCGTCAAGTGGAGGAGGACTCGAGGCTGGTCAAGGAGGATAACATGAAGACTAAGAACGAAGTGCGCCTTGCTCATGAGGAGATTGCCCTATTAATGTCCCAGATCCGTCAAGTGGAGGAGGACTCGAGGCTGGTCAAGGAAGAAATAAGGAAGACTAAGAACGATATTCGCTTATCAGAGGAGGCGAATCGTCGTCTAATGGCTGACATTCGTCAAGTAGAGGAGGATTCGAGGCTGGTCAAGACGAGGAACCGGCAGCTGGAGCTTGCAGAGACCCAAGCCCAGGATAGAGTCATGACAGCGTTGACGAGGATCGTTGAGCTAGAACGAGAGACACAACAGCTGCAAGAGATGAATAATAACACAGCAGGAGAGAAAAGACTTGTTCAAGAGCAACTCTCCGTCATTGAAGAAGAGGCCAGAAAGTTACGGGTAGGAAACTCGGCTCTACAGAGTGATAAAGACAGACAGGCACAGCAACTCAGAAGTGTTCAAGAAGAAAATAGTAAAATAACAGAAAGAGTCGCTTGATGGAAGAGGAACACGAGAAGTGCAAGAGGAATGTCAGTGAGTTGTCCACAAGGTAAACTGTGCTACTTCACTTCTGACCTTCACTCTCCTTCCGGCTTCCTACTTTTTTGTCTTACTTCTGAGGGAGTAAGACAGAGTTCTCTGTGTATGAATATGTGTATGAATGCCAGCTTTGCGCCCTGGAGAGGCCACTCTAGACCGACATCCAGAGCGCAACTCCATAGTCTCCTGAGACTGATGGATACGTACTGTTATGAAAGTCAGGCTTTGATAGACACACCGAATGATACATCCAAAATAAGAAATTGATAAAGACAGAGAGAGGTACAGTGACAGACAGATGTACAGAGACAGAGAGACGTACAATGAAAGAGAGACGTACAGAGACCGTGATACGTACGGGGACAGAGAGACGTACAGAGAGAGAGAGAGACGTTCAAAGACAGAGAGGCGTACAGAGACAGAGAGGCGTACATAGATACTTACAGAGACAGAGGAACTGGGTCGATCAGAGCAAAGAGAGAGACAGGAAGACAATTAGAAAAGTAGGGGAAGGCAGATAACAACACAGAACAGATATTGGCTGACAGACAGAGAGAAGGAGGACAGAGAGAACGAGAAGGATGATTGAAGAGAGGAAAGTAGAAAAGGGAAGGCACGTGGAGAGGAGAGAGGGGGGGGGGGATAGAGGGAGAGCAGCCCTTCCGAATAGACAGTACGTTTTAATACTAAATGTAATAAGTACAATGCTGACTACCAGCTTAGTACATAAATACACTTAATCGCAAGAATCGCACCAAAATATGCGAATATTAGCGTTTACCTGAAAAGTTGTATAGAAAACCTCGATCTTAACTAACCTTCTTAGTGTAGGAGGATAAGCATTTTATTGTTTCTTAATTACAATTAGTACTTAACCTATAGCTATATTGATATTACAGTTTTATAAAACTAGTAAAACAAAAATAAAATCTTTCAATAAATTATAAAGTAACTCAGGATATTTTAAATTTTTTTATAAAATATATATTGTTAATAAAACTAAGAAAGAAACTCTTTATATATAAAACTTGAGGACAGCGACTTAAACATGAAAACTTCATCCCCAAAATTGGAGTTTTTAATAGAAAATGACGAGACTATATAGGGAGGTAACTGTAACGGCACAATAAGTGTATTTATGTACTATGCAGACATTAGGGAATGTACTTAATATATTTAGTAATAAAACGTACTGTCTAATTGGAGGATGCGTTGGGGAGAGAAAATATGGAGAGGGGCAGGAAGTGTAAGGGGAGGTGGGAGACAAAGGTGGAGAGGGTGAGAGATGTGGGAGATAGAGAAGGAGATGTGGCAAACAGAGAAAAGGAGTGAGAAGGAAGAAGGAGAGAAGAGTGGTGAGAAGGAGAGAAAAAGAGTGAGAAGGAAGAAGGAGAGGAGAGAAGCATGGTAAGAAGGAAGAAGAAGGAGATAAAAGGAGTGAGAAGGAAGGAGGGAAGAGGGGTGAGAAGGAAGAAGGAGAGAAGAGGAGTGAGAAGGAAGAAGGAGAGAAGAGGAGTGAGAAGGAAGAAGAAGAGGAGTGAGAAGGATGAAGGAGCGAAAAGGAAGAAGAGTGAGAAGGAAGAAGGAGAGATCGGAAGGAGGGGATAAGGAAATAGATAAGAGAGAGGGAGGGGAGATGGGATAAAGCACGGAAAGGAAAGAGGGAAAAAGAGTCCTGAGCTCAGCCGGATACTCCCCCTTGAAAGGTAAATATGTATGAACATATACATTTATTAGCTATATAAGAAAATATGTTCATTGATATTTGCTGTATATTTAACTATGTAAACATATATTTTCTATATGTATGATATGGAAGATATCATTAATATATATATATCTTCATAAGATATTCATCCACTGACTAAGTCTAAAACGCGACAGGGAGAGAGAGATATATAGAAAAAGAGGCAGAGAGAGAAGAGGGTAGATAGAGAGAGAGGGAGAAGAAGAGAGAGAGGAAGAGAGCGAGACAGCGATAGAGAGCGTGAGAGACATTGAGAGAAAGAAATAGAGAGAGTCAGTGGGGAAGGAGGAAGAGACCAACGTATTCCCTTAGTCTCTCTATAAAAGAGAATGTCTGTGTGTCAGTGCAATGTTGACAGCCAGACACTTGTGTGTAGCCTCACACAACCTGAACAAATCCAGAAGGGCCGTGACGAGAGCATCCTGCGTCCGAGAGCATCCCAGACGCTGCCTTAATCGACTGAGCTACGACACGGTCAACGACATTTCGTTCATTTGATGCATCACGCAATTGTGATTTCTCACACAACCTTGTATGGTGATAATATTCGGTCTCATAGTGTGGGTGGGTCGGCTACCCTTGAAGGTGGGTGGATGGGGTCGGCCCCCATGTTACCCTTGAAATTGGGTGGTTGGGGTCGGAACCAACGTCACCCTTGAAGGGAGGTGGTTGTAGTCGGCCCCTAAACTACCCTTGAAGGGGGTAGTTGAGGTCAGCCCCTATGTTACCCTTGAACGGGGGTGGTTGGGGTCGGCCCCTATGCTACCCTTGAAGGAGGGTGGTTGGGGTCGGCCCCTATGCTACCATTGAAGGGGGGTGGTTGGGGTCGGCCCCTATGCTACCCTTGAAGGGGGGTGATTGGGGTCGGCCTCTATGTTACCTTTGAACGGGGGTGGTTGGGGTCGGCCACTATACTACGATTGAAGGGGGGTCGTTGGGGTAGGCCGCTATGCTACCCTTGAAGGGGGGTGGTTGGGGTCGGCCCCTATGTTACCCTTGAAGGGGGGGTGGTTGGGGTCGGCCCCTATGTTACCCTTGAACGGGGGTGGTTGGGGTCGGCCACTATACTACGCTTGAAAGGGGGTCGTTGGGGTAGGCCGCTATGCTACCCGTGAAGGGGGTAGTTGGGGTGAACCCCTATGCTACCTTTGAACGGGACTCGGTCTTTGCCCCCCCCTTCATGAAGTCGTTGGATAGGAAATGTGACCAGAATACCAGTAATGTTTAGCAGTTATTTTAACATTAGTTTATTCAGATGTTGACATGCAATTGTGTTCAGGCACAATCTTTTGAGTACAGTGATGTTGATAGTTTTTATGAAGATGCTTACATTGACTGGAGGGTATAGTGGGGACTCGGGGAGGGTGAGTGTAGGTGGTGATGGGTTCGGTGTGTGTAGGAGGTGATGGGTTTGGTGTGTGTAGGTGGTGATGGTTCGGTGTGTGTAGGAGGTGATGGGTATGGTGTGTGTAGGTGGTGATGGGTTCGGTGTGTGTAGGTGGTGATGGGTTCGGTGTGTGTAGGTGGTGATGGGTATAGTGTGAAGATGCTTGCATTGACTGGAGGGTATGGTGGAGACCCGGAGGGAGTGTGTAGGTGGTGATGGGTATGGTGTGAGTGGTGATGAGTGTCAAGGATTATGTCAAGAATTTGGTGGTGGTGGACCTTCAAATGTTGTCTAGGGGAATAGTTGATTTTAATTGAGCCTAGGGGAAAACAAGGATTAAGGAGCCTATTACAAACACAATTTATACATACAGTCACACGATAACATATGACATAAAATACGACTCCATATAACTCAAGGTCATACTGTAGTTGGTATCTTAGATAATAAAACTCCCAAGCGGGCTCTAGATACCCTATGGCTCACAGTCCCAAACCTGGAACCGTGAACACTTGTATAAACCTCTAGAAACCTGGACACTCTTACAAAACATCACCAAAGACTGCATAAGTACTCTACCCTTATATCTTGCAACTCTCTTAAGATACAAAGGATAGCTTATGTGACTGTACGGTCTGAGAAAAAAACCTCGGTATGCATGATCTGGTCGTCAACGATCCACCTCCCGTTAAGTCAAAATCGCTTCCTCCGCTCTTGAGTCATCACCCCTTAATACTCTATCCTTTACATTTCCAACCAAAACCTTCATTGACTTTATTTTCCATATTCCCCATGGATGCTTTTTGATTGAGTCCATTTTTCCCTCACATAGTTTGGCTATTCCGGTTCACATTATTCCTAACAATCTCCAGCTGAGAAGGAACTACTTTGTTTGGTGGAGTATTACTGGTGGACTCCCGGCCTCCCTGATATCAGCTGTAGATTTACTCCAATAAAAACATTGTCCACTGTGCCACTAACAATTTATAATTGAAACTAACCTCCACAGGAGGTAAGGTTCGTAACAATGGGTATGGTGTGAAGATGCTTACATTGACAGGAGAGTATGGGAGGATATGGTGGTGACCGGGGTAGGTGATTTTTTGTTGTTTTGCTGCATCTTTGAGTCGTGGGGGTAAGATTGTTGATGAGTATGTTTCTCGTTCTTTCCCCGCTTCTGTTAGTAGTTCAACCTGATATATGTCAGTGGTAATGCCTTTTTAGCTGTCTTCTAACGTGTGAATGTCGTCCAGAAGCATTTCGATTTCAAGGCGTTTTTGATGTTTTTGGGGTTTTGATACGAATTAACAGTTTAGACCAAGATTTAAGAAGTCTTGTTGATCCTGGGTAAGATCATAAGTAGTCAGGTTTATGTAGCCATCTTTTGGGCGAGGGAGCTTAACTGTCCACCGTTTAGAGTTGTCAACTTAAGGAGTGTCTTAGTTTCTACATGAGTTTTGTGTTGTTGTTTTAGGTTAAGTTGTTGATAGATTGCTTGAGTTGGTTGAGGATGTCGTACTGGGTCCATTTATTTAAAACTGATATTCAGCTTGAACTGTCAGGGTTTGGAGGGCTTCCTTCTTCGTGTTAAGTTGATGCCGTATGAGATCTTGCCTATACCTGTAGGTAAATTCGGCGTTGCAGACTGCTGGGTCATATGGGTATATATTGGTGTATACTGGCAGCAGGTTTTCATTTATACATGCTTCATTGAATATGACTGCGTATTCTGTATTGATTATTTCTGGTTTAGGGCTTATATCCCTCTGACTAGTGCTCTAGTCAGCTTTAATTGGAAGGGTTTAATTGCATTTGAGTTTAATTGGAAGTGGAGTTCTCCGAAAGTCACGTTCGTTCGA